TTAAGAATTTCAACAGCTGGAGTGAAACCTGTGTTAGAGGAAGTGATGCAGGCAGTATACTTCTCTCGCAGATTTCATCATCCGCTGCATTGTTCTATCTAGATATTCCTGAAAAGGCGTGTGGCTGTCCATGAACGAACACGGCGTTCATGGACATGCGTATTTTTTGTGAAGACACTAAAAAGCGAAAAAACTCGCACGAGTTTAAAATTTGGCATATCTGGAAAAAAAAATACAGGGCAGTGTCACTGAACGCAATAGTAGCGGGAACTAGAGCCGTGTGATGGGCGCGACAAAGAGAAACACTTAGTTTCTAAAGTTTTTTTATTTTATCTTCTTGTCGTTCAGTTTCACAGAACTGACTAATTTCTTCAATCATTAGGTACTGACGTCTATAAAACCGATTCAGAACTTTGTACGTGGTTTTCTTGTGGCGATAGAGCAAGTTAGAAATCTGCACCATCGCACTTGCTGTGCTGTTAGTTCTCCAAATATAAGCCAGTCGTTGGCGAGTTGAAAAGGCCGCGCCATTGCACTAATTGGCTGGGAAGTTTCTGGTACGTGGCACCCAAACCAGGACCAGGCGCCATATTAAAACATGAATAAGTAACATCATGTGTGTAACGAGCTTCTCTTTAAAGTCGAAACAAATTTCTCTCACGAAGAAATTCTTTAAAGATGTGGCATTTGGTACAAAAGGGGTGTATTCCGGGACGGTCAGTAAATATCTTCTAGTTGTATGACTCACAGAACTAGAGCTGATGTGGTAGAAAACAATTACGTGAATCCAGTCTAAAGTTTTAAAATGTGCCTTGCTATGAACTAGGTATCTCGATTATAAATATTAATAACTCATTTTCGTAAATGTTTATGTTCAGGACCTTCATTTTCATAATGGATTACATTAATATTTATAGTCTAAATAAAACATAAAATGCCAGCGTCGATCAGATCGAATCTCTGGAATCGATGTGTCCGTCATTATGAAATGGCACATGCATTTGTCCTGACGGTAAAGACACAACTTCCGCCTGTATCAGAGGGAATTAAATTTCATTCCTAAATTTCGTTAAACTAAATTCAAATCAAGATTCAAAAAACTTAAAACTTAAATGATACTATTTGCATATTTTGGCTCTTTGAAGGGTGACATTAAAACGAGTACTAACGACAAGTTAAAGTTGATAGATACCAACATTTCGGAGGAAAGTGTCTCCCCCAGTAAACACCACCGAAACGTCGGTCAAATAATACCAGACTAAAGGACACTACATCCCAGAATACAATAATGTTCATATTGTCTGTTTGGCCATACAGGGTATTTAACTCGAAAGATGGAGTCAGTGTGTTCCTCCGAACCACCTACATCGAGTCACAATCCAGGAAAAGACTATCGACTTAAACATCCCTGTTTACTTCTACATATTACTCACACGGCAGAAATTAATTCTAAACAAAACAAGACCGTCACAAAGTAACATAAATTTCGAAACATACCAAAAGGCGTATATGGGGTCAATTTCAAGATTCTGTTAATAAATCTGCAACAACGAAGCTACTTCCAGGTGGACACATCATATATGAAACACAGGACGCACATATGTGATAATATATCCAGTACCACGGATGTAAAACGAGCAAAAAATAAATAAAAAGTTAAACGCTTAAAACGGTGTGGATAAACACAATATACGTGTAATTAGTAAACGTAGCTTGTAAATTAACGACACCAATGTACACAGCAGTAACCCAGCATTATAAATTCTATATAAATTCATCACAACTAGACAGCAACACATTCCTCTTGTTGTTGCAATGGGATGAGAGTAAGTCTCTGTGGAACGTGGCCCCTAACAATCGCATTACCCTTATCCCAAACGATACATGAAAGACGGACTCGAAGTAAAAATAAATAAATAAACTTGTCGCAGTGCCACCTTGCCCACCACAAATCCCACGAACTGACCAAGGCCGCCTTAGATGCGGCAAGACCGATGTAGCACTTAAACGCTCATTCAGATGCGAGGACTACTCACTAGCAACACGGCCACTCACAGAGCCAGGATATCGGAATAAATACTAACACACATTAATCATTGCATTATAGAAAACGTACATAAAGACAATGCCGCTATGACCCCTGGAAAATAACCCCCGTATCGAATAGGATAGGAGGCTGGGCGAAACCCAGAGCCGGTGTGGACGCAGTGGGGAAGTCGTTCTGGTCATTGAAGGGCGACCACTCAGTCCGTGACTAACACAGTAATAGTTAAATAATTATTCAAATATGCCGTAATAAACTGTATGTTAACAACTGTAAAATACAATATTAATCAATTAGGACGATGGTAAAAGAAAGCATAGCACAGAATATAAATTGCCTCTTTAATGGATTCAAAATGAGAATTTTCACTGCCCCAGAGGACATAACAAGAGAACTACCCACCACGTCGACAATGGTGATGTTTATATTTTAATAATTACAACGCAGAGATGGTAACTTCAGGCAACGTTTAATAATGCTCAGCAGCCTACTTAACCCTGCTGTGACCCTTATAAAATAAAATAAACTACACTGTGCACGTTCGCTAAAACTTTTACAGTAATAATCTTAGTCCATCTAGGCGAACGCCAGCAGGGTGACAGAAACCTACTTTCAAATCGGTATCTAGTCACCGTTCTTAATTAGAGGCGCAGTAACTAACATTAACTTGACTCATCTACATAAATTATTTTTATAAGTGTCGGTACCAACAGTTACTTAATTGAAATTATGTGAACTGCGTCATACCATCCCTGGTTGTAGAAGGTAAGATATAAAGGGTAGTGTACATGATAAATAGTTTATTATTGTTTCATCTGTTGAGTATTTTAAACCGATTTATGTGAGTACGCGCACAAATTTTAGCCTTAGAAACAGCAGCGCCGCATAAAGATAATCTGGGTTACGAACTGAAGCATTTAGAGTAAAAGAGCATGAAAATGAATAGTAATAACTCAGAACGAAATACGTTTTGTACTCATCATTCACGCCGGTATTATTATATTATAGTATAACCCCTATATCTAAAACAGCGTTGTTAAATAATGTAATAATTTATGTAACAGCTATGCATTCTGAATCTGATGCAGATCAACAGAAGTAATCCTCGATGTTGTTGATAATAACGATGTTTTTGGAAAGAAGAACAGTGTTATGTTGCAATAATTAGTATTTAATCGGATATAAGGAGACATTGAGATATAACTGAACCACTGAAGTGTGTTGAATATGGCGCAGTGGCATAATCCTTACTTGCGTTAGCAAACAATTTCATCAGCAGAGACACAATAACACTATTACTGAAGCACCAGCTTAAGCGAGCCTAACACACTACACGCACTTTCACACTAACCAAATTTGTGCAAAGTTTCTCTCTGGATTCGCAAAATGTCGCTACTGGTTACTTGAATTCATTGCAGTCACATTAGAGGATCGCTACTAAGGTTTACTCTAAAATACCACCAGAGTTACACTGAAGAACTTCGACAAATGAAGTGTCACGTGTGTTCCTCAGAAACGCTGGATCTTGTCTGCAAGTCAAAATGGCGTCACAGTCCAGAAGACTGACATCTTCGTATTCTTCGATAACCATAGATTTTACGCTTAATGATGACACCTAATTCTTGAAACACTAAAGAGCAGGATAAACGAAACAATAATTTTAAAAATCGTTTTGCGTGAGTGTGAGAGACTTGTTGGAACATAAATTGCAAGTGCTAAGAAAAATACCTGGGAGAAAAAAATAAAAAGTAAGCGAGCAGTTTATAATATTACGTGTCGATAAATTTCATTATTTACAAAGGTCAGATATTGATGTTAGCATGGAGAAATATTTTAGGTTTAGATAAGCTGTTCATAGAACTATGGCGGGGGAAATATGGAAACATAATAGAATTTTAGTACGGAAATTTCTTGTAAACGTCTTACCTACAGAAATAAAAAGGACATGGGAGTATTATATTAAAATGGTTCCTACATAGGTAGATGGTTAACAGAAACTACCAGTGGGTGGCACTGTCTCAGGATCGTGCTCGACGGAGGTTTTTGGAATGAGCGGTGTTAAATCTTCGGGTTCTCACAGCGTTAGTTGGCTACTTGCTTAATCTTGCATAAGACTGGGAAGATGCAAGGATATAGAAGCAGAATGCGTGCGCCGATATATCTTCTGCCTGTGCTTATTCAGGATTAATATCGCTTATAAATTATCATCCATCAAATTTTAGACGTAGCATTATAACATTTTCCAATACCCTTCTGCTCTCCTGAGGACTGTTTTTAAGGCAGAACGAAAACTTTCTTCAGTGTAAGCCCCAAAAAAGACCTCAAGATGAATGATAAACATGCTTGTGTTTGCATTCAGACATTTTGCTGCAAACAGAGTTTCGTAACCCGAACCTTCGATCTATTAATGTGTTTGGTTTTATACAACACGGTGATTGAGATATTAGTACAACGTCCCATAAATAAAATTCAGATTACAAATGATTTTGACTTATAGTTTTTCTTGCTATTTTGGGTTTTGGCCCCTTGTAAACTCGTAGCTAGATGCCAACGTTTCGGAGAAACATGCTGTCTCCATCTTCAGGACTCAAGTGGCGATAGTGGGAAGTTGACGGATTTTAGTAGGATTAGAGGAAGGGGAGGCTGAGGAATTGGACTAATCAGAGGTTTCAGTCTACTGCACGCCAATTCCTCACATTTCAGTCCTGAATATGCGAACAGCACATTTCTCCGAAATGTCGTTATTTACCTACAAGACCTAGAACAATACTGACATTTTCACTTCCGTGAAAATCTCATCTCGCATAAGTAAAGTTGTAGGGTTTTTTTTAAAAAATATGTCAACGCTTACATTTCTAAGCAACGATTGAACTGTAGCTTAAAATAATCTTATCAGTCGACAAACAGCAGTTATATAATCCAAGAGACACACAAGTCAGTATCTACTGTAACTTACCACGGCTGAACTGGCTATAGTTCCTGATGACGTTCTCAGCGTGTTTCCTGGCGATGTAGAACCACTCGGACGTGTTACTCAGATACTTGTACTCAACCGCCAAGTCCTTCACGAGTATCGGTCCCTCGGGGAGTCTGTAGGCGTACGGACAGAAAAGCCAGTAGTCCTTGTACTGGAACTGGTCGTAGCAGTTTCCAGCAGCGAAAATGTCTTCGTCAAACTCAACCATTGAAAACACTGAGGCGTGAAGCAGGTACTCAGAGCTCATCACCTCCGTGTCTGCGTATTTCCAGAGTCTCGTCAACATGTTGGCGCGGTTCACGGCCACGTCAGCCTCAACCCGGAACCTTTCCTGGGCGTACTGATCAACAACACCTTCACCAAGATTGAGATCTGTTCCTGCGGTACAGTTCTCTCCAAGAAGATGCTGAGACTCGACGATCGTGAGGAACCGAGTGACGACGTCCACCATCCCGCGCTTTGGATCCGCGGTGTCACTCACCCTCCCCAAATCGTCAACAACACCGATATCACTGTCTATACCTTCTGTTCCCAAGCCCAAATCTTCTTCGTCGTAATACAGAGCCCCCAACTCGTCTTTGGGATTTGTAGGAGACCCATTATTGTTATGTTCATGATTGTTATTTTCGTCGCCTTCAAAATAATGTTCACGTCTGGGACTAGTAAAATCAGCTGTAGATCTCAGTCTGTTCTCTACGTTCTGAGATAAATCACTGGAATTAGCGCCTAAAGAAAATATATTTACTGATGAAGCAGACTTCTCTTCCTTCACCGGCGCAGAGGTTGCTGTGGTCTTTAAAACGTTCCCTTTTGTTGATTGTGTAATTACATAGAGAAACGATGTCGTAGATTGTGGGAAAGTCGGTAATACAGAGTATTTTGTTTCCTGCTTTATAGGCACTGTAGTACCCAATGATGATGACGATGACGTTAAATCTAGCCCTTCAAGTTCATCTGCAACCGTAGTACTTTCATAGTGAATTTTAATTGTTGGATCATCATCAATTGCAGAAGATTTCATGATAGAATTTTTATTTTCGTCATTATTTAATATATCATAACTTTCAAAAATTGGATTTGAACCACTTCTTCTACCATAGCGCAAAAAGTGACTTCTTGAACGACCATGTCGTATAACACTTCCTAATCTTTCTTCGGTATCCCTAAGTACATGGTAATAGCTTTCATCAGGTTGTCCGAGAGTGGCTGCAAACGCAACACTGAACACAGTAAATACTATAATGGTCAATAGGCCTGAAATAACTGTGGTTAATTTCACCATAATGATTTTACTACGTCTCGTTACAAAACTTTATAATAGTTTCCGTTTGCTGTTCATAAAAGTGGTACGTAAAATACGAAATATCCATTAATATTTGTAATTACATATCAGTGTTTTGTTTCAGACGATGTTAGTATCTCGACACGGCCACATTAATGAATTGTTGTTCAGATGTCAGGTGAAAAATGAAGTTAAGTATCTGATGCTATCGAATTTCACACGCACATTGAACAGAATTTGTGAAACGGACTGAAAATACATTTGCGTTCTCAAAAGTTTCGTAAAGTAAGTGTATCATAAGTTTTTAACAACTTTCCTACAAAGTCCATAACTCGAGCCATTGTAATTCGCACTGCGTGACAACATAACAGAAGTTTTAATTATATACATGGCTATTTATTTTAATAAAGTAAAAAATTATCGAATTAAAAGTTTTATTACTGGTTCGTTCTTACACCCTGCAAGAACTGTAGCACAAATGATTATGAAGATGACGGAAAGAACAGGTCTGTCTATGAACTTCAGATGTTTGTAATCGAGAACGACCGACGCATGCGACGTCCAGCGGCGCCGGCGCTGCACTGAGATTTGCTAGACAAGACGATTTTTTTTTTGCCGCGAGAGAGCCACCTGCCAGCTGTAAACGCGCGCAGTCGCACATCCGACTATCGATTTTCTTGAAACACTTATTTTCTCATAATGATCACCACATTTTCATTCCCAAAAAACCTTCTTACAATCGGAGCATTTCAAGAAGTGGTGTTACGTCTCTGTATCAACTGCAAACTTCGGTATACGGTGGAATTGTTGTGAACAGTGGGCCACGGACGTTAGAAGGAAAAACAGTAACCAACCAAACGTTATTACAGGGGCAAACACGTAATCTACAAACATGCATCGCCCAAGACAGATACAGCATATATGTGCAAATTGACAGATTAATAATTCCATAGTATAATCTTCAGCGGTAAGTTAACAGTTGCTCAGCTGCCCAGAATAAGAAGGTGCACTGCCGTGTCTACAAACGATCGCAACTCGACTCTACCCTGACCCAGTCAAATCCGATCCATGAATTCACACCCTGCGTCTACATGTTCCATTTTAAATCTTCCCTCTATGTCAACGTCTGTCCAAACACCTAAGACGACGAGTAGACCCCGAAAACCATGTAACACCTCATCATGCAACTTCCTCCAGTGCTTCTCTACTTCTTCTCACTATCAGCAGACGTCGGTTTTCGGCGTCCTAGAAGTATGTCTACTCGTTTAAAGCGACTTACGAAAATCAACTTTCTTCCGCACGAAATGCATGATCATATGTAAACTTAATAACCGATGAAATAACCGCTCTGTGGCATCCTTTGATTTTATACGTACTGACCGAGAAATGGGCTGCAAGTTTTACAAAATTCCCAAACTTAATAAAACATCTCAATTTAAGCATTGTCGTATTAAGTGGAGAGGTCTTTACTTCCTTTGATCTTGCTGTAGTCCTTTGCTTCCCTTCTTTAAGTAACTGCCTGATTTCCACCTATTTGAATAACTCCAGTAAATTTATGAAAGACTCTCGGGCAACAAGCCGTGTCAGGTAGTGAATGAACCATTTCCTCTGCTAACGTTTCGAGAGCTATCTCTGCTATCATCCTCAGGGCAGCTGCGAAACGAAACTGGTCCAATCTTCACTTTATACAACTCCACTAAAGTTCTTAGTCTAAGCAAGAATCGTGGACGGAAGAAATACAAGGCCGCCTGCACAAACGCTGGAGTCTTAGCTACATAACGGGGTCACAAGGGATGGAACTGGGGGCGAAAGGCCGTCAATGAATCAATATATCACCACTATTTCAATTTAAACCGTCTCCTCATCATCCCACTTGTTCAACATTACCACTACCACCTTTCGTCAATTTAAAACTCAAGTCCACAATGAGACTGTTAACAACAGCTACATCTTAACTGCATAGTTATTCCAGTTTTCACGGAATAGTATTGATTATTTAACGGCGCTTTTTCAACTACATTGATTATATGGCGCCGAATGTTATAACGATCAGTGAGTTACGAGGAAAGACGAGGTAGATCTTACAGTATCATCTCGACATTGTTCTGGAGCAATTGAGGAAAATCACGAAAATATAAATACCCTGTCCCCCGACTGAGGTTCGAACCCGGAATCTCCCGTTTCAGAAGCAAGTGTAATAACAATTTATTGGCGATGTTTACCGTATCCCAGTCCTTCTAAATAGATTTTCAGAGATCATGGGTTTCAACAGTTCTGTTTCATAAGAACGCTTTGCATTCATTCTCAGCTTAAACACAAAGCATCCAACTTGCATATTTTGTTTCATTGACGTTGTATGTCAGAGTGTTATAAATACTACGGATCGGATGACGTTCTGCCGGGGATATAAATCGGTTCGACCTAGCCGCCGATAGCAGTTTTATTGATTGATTTTTCTCAGGTTCTTTGCATTAAATTCAAAACTGATTTCTAAATAATCGTTTGTTGATAAATAGGACAATCACTATGGAGACAAAATGCCGGTACATAACGACATAATTAAAATTAATTTTCAATTAATATTTACCTTCATTACGATTTCACAAACTAATTAAAATGTACATCCGTAAGAAGACCACAAGAGTGATTTCAGAGCTGGTGGATTGTACAAACGAGCGGATAACAGCCAATTCAGGAGTCCCAGGTGCATATTTAATATAAAATAAGAGAAAAATGACTTTAGAAGCTGATTGAGTAGATTTCTGCAACACTATTGCTCCAGACTCCTGTTCAGTCGGTAAAAAGATTCGATTCCAGGTTGTAATACTGCCCAACCAGACTAAATTTCTTAACATCTCTGACTCTCTTTACATGCGGATTCTGGGATAGTACGATGAATTCAAGTACGATATGACAGCGACGTCTCAAACATTCAATTTACAAATTTTTTTTGCAGCTCATTCAGTGCTTTAAACCCTCCCCAGTTCAAGCAGCGGCGTTAAATAAACACATAATTTATAAAAGAAAATTAGGAATTTGATTGATAAAAAGTGCTTAGTCCCTTCATGTAACCCCTATAATGTGAAATGATATAAGAACGCTGGAGGTAAGCCCCTATCCACTCGAAAAATACCGTACTTTTGGTTCGTATATCCAATAAAATACATCGTGCTTCTGTTACAAAACTCGTTCATAGCTAATAACCCTTTACACTGAGGAACAGATTAAAAAACTGATTTCCTGGGCGTTAAGTACGTGGCGCGTATAGCCACCGCAAGCAGCCTCTTAAGGGATAAAAATAAATCTTATTCACTGCGAACGTGAGAACAGTTATGGAGATCACTCCGCGAAGCTTCTTCTCCGCACAGCGCATGAAACAAGCACATTCAATTTTCACAACCGACGGAGCGGTGCCTGACGTTTCTGTTATGAATGTAGCTGGGTCGGAGGTTATGTTAAAGGGAGACGTACGTTACAAGCAGGTAAAGATTTGCTATTGAACCTGAATTTATTTGTAGAAAATTGTGTATGACAGAGGAACGTTTCTACATTTTACGAAAGGAAGCGCATTTTCACCTCTCTCTCTTTTTTTGGCGTCTTTTCAGTTGTAACGCCGTGTAGTCTGGTAGAATCTGGACTGACCAACCATCACTTCAGGTTCATGGTTCGTGCCCCATGCGGCATATGCAAAGAGGCGAGGTTTTCAATACACGGCTAGCAAACCAGCTGTTTTGACTAGGTTTTCTCGTCATTTTATATGCTTGCAGTAAAAGAACCTTAAAATAGGTCAAGGTCAAGCCCTACTAACTACTTTGCAATTCCTAATTTACAATCATCGTAACATCTGGCGCTATATCGTATTTACATCTGACAAAACATCGTTAACTGGACCAAGAATTAGCCCATACTAATTAATATATATGAACACTTTCCCTGTTACAAACAAGATATATCGTTTTGAAAACAGTCTCTCTGACTTGTATGTCTCTATGGGTGAAGAGATCTGTTCTGGCCTCTGCAGTAAACCTAAAACTCTATTTATGTTACCATGAATACGTAAACCGGAAGAATATATTTGTACTCAAAACATCAACATGAAAAGGGTTAATGAAGAGGGAAGTATGGCTCCATTGGATGAAGTACGAGAGAAAAAGGGCTAACATCTCTTACCCCTGAGGGATGTGAATTACGCAACACAAACGCAGCGTCCTGCAAAAACGAGGTACGCTATTTGTATGGCAACATTGAGAAGTGTACGATGAATCAGACATGTATAATATGTATAATTACTTCTTTGTTATTCTTAGCTACATATATTATATATGAGCCGGGATAGCTCAGTCAGTATAGTGACTCTCTACGGGCTGGACGACCGGGGTTCGATCCCTGACGAGGGCAGAGGATTTTTCCTCTAGCCTGTGCGTCCAGACCGGCTCTGGGGCCCACCCAGCCTCCTCTACAATGGGTGGTCCTTTCCCGGGGGTAAAGCCGGCCGGGGCGTGATGCTGACCACTCACCCCCATCTAGTGCCGAGGTCAAGGAAGAGAGGAGCTATACCTCCTCTCAACCCAAACGCCTACATGGCGCATAGAGGGACAAACTTTACTTTACTTTACATATATTATGTAACGTAGAATGTTAGGATAACTATATGAACAAATTAAAATGCATTATATTGGTCTTGGTCTATTTTAACATATCACACCACATTTCACTGCATCATCTGAGAATAATTATAGAATATATGATGATAGCCGGTTTGGGGGCCATGATTAGAATCCTGGGCTTCCCAAAGAAGCGCTAATGACTTGACTGCGAAGTTTAGACGCGTAACTCCGATTTGAAATGCGAGAACTGCGCACAGAATTTTAATTGGGAGACATCTAGAGACACAAGCTATTTGAAGTAAATGACAGGATAATGTTAGAGGGGAAATATATTGTGAGGCTGGGAGTGAATGCAGCTAGCGGTGGAGAGCTTTTCTATTGGCGCTGTTTGAGTTATGCATAACCGGAGGGAATTAGCTTTTCAGTCAGTCAATTTGAAACACCCTGTAGAGACAGGAAGTGTGTTAGCACATGCTTGCGTGTATTAAGAATCTCTACGCTTCCAACTTTCCTGACTATTTCCATGCTGAATTTACTTCCTTTAGGAATATATTATGCGAATATTTATTATAATAAGTTGGTAACGAATTTCCAAAGCAAAGATTAATGAAAGTCATACGAAACCTATATCACGGCTGAGACTCGAAGCCTGTATCTCCAGAATAAAAGTTTAAAGCGTTGCTTGGATTCTAATGTCAGAAAGGCACTGAATCACAAAGAACACAAATAAATGTGGGATATATTACGTTAGAGGCATTATACTATTACAGTAAACGTGAGCCTATGGGCAGAGTTTGAAGTCTGAGATGTAGAGAAATTCAGCGTGACATTGCTTATGACAGGTCCATTTCTCTTCCTATTCATTGCATAACATAACGTGGGCTGAGATTCGTGACATTCATGTGTTTTTTTTTTCCCCATGAAATATGTCTGAA